TAAATGAGATATTTTTTATGACCTCTCCAAATATGACACTGTCATCCTTGCTTCTGCAGTCCTTCAGCAATGCAACCTCACTCACATGATCAGTTTTTGAATCAAAATCAATGAACTTATTAGGTGGAAGATATTTACAAAAATCATCACCATTATTAGCTCTCAAGTGCAGAAAACCATTGAATGACACTCCTGTTGTTCTTTCAGGACGCTGATAAGGAAAACTTAGCTCTTACCAACCTTTGATTTTCAATCCTGCCTCCAATACAAGATCATCTTTGCAATTTGGAGTCTGTCTATCTATCTGTAATCCATATCACTGCTTCTAATCGTCTGTGCATGAGCTGTAACAATTCTCAGAATTTGTACAACATATATAGTGAGGATTTCTTGCACCATAGTCAGGTCCATATCGTCTAATTCTAGTATGTGGCTGAAGTATGTTGTCCACGGATTCCACAAGTAGAAAGAACTTCCAAGAATTATAAGCAACAAACCGTTGCATGAACCTGCAATCTAGATTTCATCATAGTACTGCAATGCTGCTCGCTCCCATGATACTTTTGGTTCAAGTCTTCGCAGTTTGCAGTACATAAAGTAGAAACGAGGAATTCCTTCACATGGCTCATCATATGATTCTTTCGAGTACTAATGACATAAAAACTGCTTTTGCATGTCCAAGATCACGGATAAGGTAGAATTCAGATTGGAAATTATGGAATTTCACAGCTTGGTTATGCACTTGAATCTTATTACTACGAATTATATCATTTGGAATTGAGGCAGTTGTACTAATTCATCGAACTGTCGTAGTTCTATGATCAAAGACTAAGGAAGAAGGTCAAGAATGGCAAAGGCAACAGAGGCTCAAAAACAAATAAAACCGTTTGTGGAAAGCTGGGAAGCATAAATGGTAAATTTGGTTGGACTCATCGTTGTTTAGCTTTCATTAGCTGCAAATCCAACCAAATCCTGCAACCGACTGCTTATAAATTTAGAATTGCAAAAAAAAATCAACAATGACAGATTATCAAATTTAAAAACAAAATTATAGAATATTTTCCACATGAATGGACCAAAATTGCTTACAAATCATCAAGGGAACAAAATTTTCTTGAGACATTGCCGACATGTTGTTTGATCACTTCTATGATTACTAATAATTTTAGAACTGAAATTAGCTAAGATCGAACTAGCTCTTCATTCTCCACTAAATTATTATATGATTAGCTAGATTAATGGCACCGGCTATAGAGTTTATTCTTGAATACACGAAACCTATGCACATCTCTGACTAAAATTAAGATTATTTTTCATCTTGTAGGTGACATTACAATAAGGGGGGAGTATTTATGGAATAGTGCCACACTTTTATGCGAAAGTATATGTAATTTGGAAGTTGTTAATTTTAAAGGAGCACCAAATGAAAAATTCTTTGATTTTTCAATGGTCTTCAATACGTTTTTGGTGCTTCAACGTGCACATAAATGGGCAACAAAAAGAAAAGCTCTTGTTTGATTTACTTCTTTATGACCTTTATATATATGTTTATAAGACATAAAACAAAACTCTTTGGAAATCTTGTATATCTTTTATTGAAAGATAAGTATAGTATATAGTCTTTATTTTTTCTTTATATAAAACTTCTTTTGAACTGTAATAGAATAAGAAAGTACGTGGAATATCAACTTTTATATCTTTATTCAAAAGAAAAATATATTTAGTTTAGTATTACAAAAAATATCCCTAGAATTTTTTAAATCCATGTGCTCTAATGCTAGTATTTGAAAATTCACCGATTTAATCCTTGAATGTTTATTCTTTATTTTCTAATTGGCCCTCATTCCAATTCGAGCAAAGTTTTTCTCTCCTCTAGTAAATCATATCGTCCCACATGAGTACCAAGGTATGTATCAAGAACCATGGGAAATGTCCATGACTGAATTGGTGAATTTGAAGTTCATCATTCTTGATGATTTAATCCTTTCATATTTAGCAATTGTCTGCACACATTAGCGAGTGTGAGATTAATTCAACTAGGGATGGGAATGGAAGCAGTTCTGCTTCATTTTCGTTTTCAACCAATAATTAGATGCTGATTCACCCTCCATATCTAAGCATTTTTATTCCCATATTAATAGCCGGGGATTAAATACAAAATTACGTGTATTTAATTAGTAATTATGTTCTGGATGACATATCCTATAGAGTATAATTTTTCCAAAAGACTAGCTCTTTTTTTTTTTTTCTTTCTAAAGATTTTTTTAATGGAGGCTCCATATACTCGTGTTAGTACACATAATTTATGCCAAGATCACCATGTCAATATATGCACTCAAATTGATTATCTGTCCATTGCAATTAAACCCTTTCCTGATATAGCTTTAATTTTCTTAAAAACTAACACCTTTGAAACATTTTGTACACCCATTAAACAAACCTTTTTTTAAAAAAAAAATAATTTATGGGAATAAAACTTGCTTCAATGCTAGAAGAAAAAAAAAACGAAGGCTTCTACAATAAAGATTAGAGTGTATGTATCCTATATCGACTGCTCCAGCTCATTATGCTTCCCCTCGAGATATGGTGACATCTCCCAGCCAGCCAACCCTAACAGCATTTGCCATGATCATATGGAAACTTTTTCTGATAAAATCAGATATGTATAGCCTTTACAACTTGCAGTTTCTGTTATGCTTAGATTCCACTTTGGTACGGTGGACTATGAAGCTCACAAATTATATACTGTCACTTTTTTCCAGGAGATTTTGCCTTTTTTCTCCAATGTACTAAATTCAGAATCAAATTGGTAGAAGTACGAAAATCCCATCTGGGATTCTCTTCAGTAGATACTAAAAATCATTCTCTTCACATCAAAGCAGTATTTTACTATATTGCCATTCTTGACTATGAAATGGGTAGTTGTTGCTGCATGAAATGAACACAAGAAATCTGTACATGGGAGTGTAAAGTCAATGTATATGAGCACAGATTGAAAAGATCTTATGGGTACATAGCTATACAAATGTAGCTGTGAACTGGGATTTTGTCAATAGAAGTAAATTCAACTGATACGCCATGATTAGATTTGATTATTCTTTGTGTGTATATATGGATATGGATGGCTGTTTTTATCATATCCAAATCAAGCGGGACTGATCGATTGATGTGGTCTTTGCCGCTTGCAGAGGCCCTTTTAGTCACCGGTTTTAATGCATGGCATGCAGATTCAGGAAGACTCTTAACAGGATTGGGTGGCCCTGCGGTGATCTATGCAGACCTTGATAAAATTTTGAAGATTGAAAAAGCGAACAATGAGCTCATCAAGAACTTGGAGACAACAGAGTAACGAAGGATGCTTTGGATGCCTTTTGGAATTGATCAACGACTTGAGAGACAGCAGACTAATTATGGATGCTTGAGATCCTTTTGAAATTGGACTAGCATTCTGAATTTTTCGTTGCCTTAATTTGAAGCGTTAAATACAAAAACCAAACAAAGTTTACTTCGAACTAGTTTTTGAGTTTTGGGATCCCTTTGCGGACTAGGAGAGAATTGGTGTAAACTCGAACGTCCGGTGATCATATTGGATCTGATTAATTTAAAGTCGAGCATTATTAGATTCTTTTCGAAAGATATTTTCAACGTTGTCTTTTTCATCCACAAAACTTTTACTGTAGAAACTTTATTTAAGCAGTATCAAGCTCTTTTTCACTTGACTCAATAATCACTGGTGACTAAGCGGGGATTGACTGCAAGCCATTAGAGTAAATATCAAGTTTGCTTCAAAAGAATGTGCACAATCACTACTATTAATTTAACCTAGCTTAATTTTCTTTATGTATAACTGGTTGTTTTCTCATTGCTAATCTCTAATTGTTTCTACCATTTGGCAGTTGGTTACCATCGCCCTATCTTTTATTGTAAACACTTGTTTATTTCTATACCAACAACAAATTTTATCCGTAGACTAAATAAATTGCATCGACATAATTAAGACATTACATATAAGCATGAGCATCTTGCATTGAAAGGCATTTTCTTCCCTAGTAGCTGACACAAGACTTACAAAGAAAATTGTACTACCAAAGCTAAAACCAGGTACTTTATGATAGCATTACCTCTGACCAGACTAGACTATGAATTTCAGAAAAGACTGCCTAGATCATCCTGTTGGATGATATATACATATCTTGAATAAAAGTTGCTTGCTAGTTCAATTAGACTGATTTGGGTTCGGGTTCGAATTTTGTCTCCAACGGTAAAGAGGGTGTGAGAAAGGATGTGAGAAAGAGTGAAAGAATTTTTTTTTAAAAAAGAGCTTATCATTAACTGTGGAATCAAGTATTGGATTAAGAAAATTTGTCACAATCTCCAAGAGTTGTAACATTGCAACTTTCATACAGAGTAACAATTTACTATCAAAGTGGAGTTGTTTAATGCCCTCAATATTGAACAATAATACAAACAAAACAAAACAAAAAAATTGTAACTAATGGCCCTGTTGGGCTGGTGCGCCAGCAGAGATTTTGTAAGACAATTGTAAGTGACTTATTTGGCAAAATAAGATGGTTAGACTACTATGTATTACAAGGACAGCTAGTTAGTTCTTTTTGCGTTCCTTCACCTTTATTCAAGCGAGAAAGAAATATTTCTGTCTTTGAAAGAAAATTCACGTTCAACGAAAATTTCTACCTTTTAATTTTTGAAAATTCATTGAAATTATTCCTTGCCGGTAACCACTATTTCATAGACATGATCAAGTCCCCCTGTTAAACACTGTAGCTAGGTCAAGTAGGGCATTCGATTTTTACAAGTTTTTAGGGTTTAATGAATCTCAAGAGACAAAACAAAACCACATTTTTGAACTTTCTTCCCTCTTTTTAGAATGTATGGTCCAAAGTTAAGTCGTCCAAACTTTTTGTTGATGTAGCTGAATGTCCTTAAAATGTAGTCGATGTCTAATGACTTAGTTCAAGGGAATATAATGCGCCTTCTGCTTTGGATTAACATGTGACAAAATGCAGTGTATATAGAGCAAAAGATCATGCTACGATAGCATTACATTACCATTAGGAAACGATAATAAGTATCTTGCATGTTGACATCATACTAAGCAAGCCAAAAAACTTTGTCGCACATTTTCTAGATTTATAGCAGGATCGGAGTAGCCAAAACTTAAGACAACTCTGTCTCAAAAGGGTGGGGATCCACAAAAGCACTATGGTGTCTTGGCGTTCTTGGGGCCGCCACCGTGGTGGTGCAAGGGGTCTGGACCCATCGGAGCCTCCCTCAACTCCCAACCAGCACCAACCTTCATCCCTTTGCCACCACTTGCCGATCCAGCCATGCCCCCACTCTTGAAAACCATTTCATGGCCCTTCATCCCTTCAAGCAACTATACACGTGTAAAACCAAAATTACTTGACATTTCAATGCATCAAAATAAACCAAAGAAATGTTTAAAAAAACAAAAGAGTACCCTTTAAACTTTTTTTTCCTTTTTTTTTTCTTATAGGGAGATTTTCTGATTTTTCACTTAGTTATTGATGCATTTTGCTGCATATGGAAAACCACCTTTCTGGAATGCACTTCATGCAGAGTTGCTTTGACGTAGAAGCATCCACTGCCCATCTTGCAATCTGCCAAGGCTAAAATACATGTTAAATAATCAATGACCAAACTCAAGTACCAAACTTTATCGATTAATCTCACATCTACAAAGTACAAACACGAAGACTCAAGTACCAGAAGCTTGGAGCTGCATGACAAAGAGGCAGCACAAGGCAGTGATGAAGAGCATGACAGCAGACTTGGAAACAATAGAAAGGAAGGCCATTTTGGTATGGTACTTTTACTAGTGCATGCAAATGCAATCTCTCAGAAAGAAAGTAGAGGAATGGTGAGTGTGTGAAGCTTATGAAGCCAAAAATGGCCAATTTATAGAAGTCTTGGAAGGCTATCAAATGATTGCACGAGCAGCCAATTTTGGAGAGAGATTACACAACAATTTAAGACACTCTAAAACTACAACAATCCATCTGCAAAGTAGTAGTAGACTAGTAGTAACTGAGATACGATACTCATCTCATCATCTTTATTACTGATGACAACTTGTGCAGGTGACCCTTGTCAACGGCCAGCTCATCAAACCAGTATTCCTTGGGGACGGCGCAGCCTTCGACGATGTCACTCGCACATCAGAAAGTTAATTTAGTGTCCTTGCTAGCAAAGCCTTTAGCAGTTGTTAGCAGCCCCCTTGGCAAACTAGTCTACTAGACTAGTATTTTCCACAACTACAAGTCCACAATTAGTAGTACATGCATCCATAGAGTTCTGGCAAATTAGTCTACTAGACAAGTACGTTCCACAACTACAAATCCACAAATTGTACATTCATCAATCAAGTTCTTGCAACTTTACCTAATTTACGTCTATTTAAATGGGTTCAGTACCATATATGCAATATAATGTATTATATGTTGTTGCTCAAAAAAAAAAAAAAAAAGAAGGTATTAGGTGTTGTTAGTTAAGAGTTTGGCAAAAAGTATCTTTATTACTAGTTTTTACAAACCAAACATTATAAATTAATTTTCATAAATTTAACCTCACATTTTATGTCTCTGTCCCCTCTCTTTTTTCAAGCCCTATAGTATCGAAATTAGAATGTATAGGGAGGGAAAGTTATTGTAACAAGTGCATAAATGTAAATGCTTGTTTTGTTTTAGGATGAATTGAGGTCAATATGAATATGAATAAATTAGTGCTTAAATAGTTTGGGTATACTTACATTACATGCTTATTACTCGTTCATAGAAAAGTAAGTCCGACTAAATGCGCATCAAGAAAGGAAAAAAAATAAGTACAAATATAGATATTGCACATAGTTCAGAAAACAAAAACGATATATATGCACACACGCGCACACACACACACGCATACATACACCATGCATAAACTATTCAATCTTCCATGCAAATTTTAATTTAGAAAGTAACCTAGTTTGTACTTTTTATAGAAAATAATATAATTTTAAACCGCTTCGAAGAATACGTGATGAGGGTATTTACATTTAATAATTTTCTTGATTGAGGTCCCAAATAATCGTCAAGAATTTTGTGCTAAAATAGTTTAGGTATAATTGCCGGCTTATTATTTACTTGTCAAAAAATAAGTCCAAGTAAATTCCGGATTCAAAAAAAAAAGAAAAAAAAAGACTAATCCATACGTGAAATAAGAGGAACAAAACTAACTCTAAGATATGGCGAATAGCTCAAAAAAAAAAAAGAAAAAATTGATGTAAAACATAAACGATATTGTGTACGTTGTCTGGAATTATAAAAACTGTATCCATGCAAAAATGTAATTGAAATTGCCTGCATTTCTTAGAAATCTGTCTAGTTCCTACTTTCTATAAAACAACATTTTAATTCTAAGGGATAATTTCAGAAACCTCCCCTGAGGTTTCTGACACTTTCACTGACATCCCCTGAGGTTCTCAAAATTTCACTTACCTCCCTTGATAAAAAATTGGGCCCCTTTTCTGACGTCATCAGGGCCAAAATTACAGATATATCCCAAGTAGTTGGGGTTAATTACTACCGTTTAGTTACATAATGGCATCTGATATGATTAATTAAGCTTAACAACAATAATAGAAACTTGATTTATATAATATTTTTAAAACCCTAATACATCTAAATTTGATTTTATTTTCAAATTTATAAGATTTTTATTTAAAAAAATGGGATACGGATAAGATATCCGGTTGGTTCGATTTGCATAGGTGCATATGAGAATATCCGAATACTCCTGAAACCCGCAAGCGGGATTCTGTGTTTTTTCTATTTCAAGGTTAGCTCGCATGCGGGTTAATGTTATATTTGAGCGCGAGAAGAAAAAATTGGTAATTAGGCTCTTTGGGCATTATAAGTAAATATTTAAATTAATGGCAGTTTTATTACACCAATATTATTGTATTATCATTATTATGATTATTGTATTATTTCTTATGCAAATATAACATTTAATTATCCAAGCAGTTTGATTTTATTTTTACAATTTATAAAATTTTTATCACTTATATAATATTTTTAAAACCCTAATACATCTAAATTTGAATCTAATTTTCTACAAGTCATACTTATAAATGCGAAATCTAACAAAAAAAGTTAAATACAATTTTTGCAGGTCAAATTTAACAAATGCGAGCTATTTGCAAAATTTTAAATATTTGCAACATTTTTTAAAACAAAAATTAGAAGCTTTCTGCAAATAATTCCCTACCTCTCAAAAAATACCAAAATAAAAAAGATAAGAGCTCGCATTTGCTTCCTAGAAATAATTCCCTAGCTCTTAAAAAAGGAAAAAAAAAATTGAGAAGAGCTCGCATTCGTGGAATGCGAGCTCAATAACCAGAGCTCGCATTCCACGAATGCGAGCTCTTGTAAGCTCGCATTTGTGAAATTCACAAATGCGAAGACCCCCCTGACGGAAATTAAACCCAAAATCACCCCTTTTGTAGAATTTTTTTAAAATTCATCACAAAGTTGGAAATTTCTCAATAGAAATACAACTTGTCTGGATTCCTTTCACTCTCTGATATCATTACGGTTGCTTTGCGATTACAGCGGCAAAACCTGTTTTTAATGGAGAAAGATGTAGGTGAATTCCATGATTCTCCCCTATGGCTTGAAGAGGCCATGGTTGCAGCTAAAACTTTTTACTCAGAGCTCTAATTGTAGCACAGCAAATGCACTTGTTATCACTCCAAATTAGTAGCAAAGAATGTTAATAGCTTGAAACCTCAGAGGTAGTTAAGTTGCTTTGCTTTATATGCTATTGCTACTGAAACAGCAAACCTTCTGGCCGTTGCAATTTGCAGCTAGCCGTTGCAAAATCTGCCAAATAACTGTTGCATGGCACATCTGGTGCATGCAAATTTTTGTATTGCACTTACCCCCCCAACTTTACTAATTAGTCCAAATCATTTATTCTTCTTTGAATCTTCTACTAATACAACTTCTGCAAAGGGTAGCTATGGAATAAAAATACCTTCTCACACATGAAAATAATATTTTAATCTGATTTGGACTGGATTGTTACCACAAAATCAAAAGCAAGGGAGGTAAGTGAAATTTTGAGAACCTCAGGGGATGTCAGTGAAAGTGTCAGAAACCTCAGGGGAGGTTTCTGAAATTATCCCTAATTCTAATTCATCTAGAGTTAAAGACTCAAAATAGATAGCAATTCTGCTCCAAATCCATGCAAAATCTCAGCGATGACACATGCGGCCTCTTTTTGTTTTCCCCTTTACATCTTTCTCCTCTGTCACTCGACAAATGTCTTCTGCACCATGGCTGAGTTGTAGCCCAACTGGTGCAGATTGTACGAATAAAAGTCTTTATAGAACTAGCAGTTACCGTTACTATAAAGTACTAAAATCTCAGTATATTCTTGAATCAGTACGGTGATACTTTGGGTAGTGACCTTTATTCTGGGACTATACCTTTTATGGTGTGGAATGACGACCATGCCCTTCTGATGAACGTGCTTCTTGAATCTTGATGATGCTGATTCTTGACAGCAGGATATAATACACAGAGATGCAGAGCAGCTAGCTAGCTTTAGACTATAGATAGAGTTAGCTATCTACTTGAGGAGATTCGATTTATATCATGATGCCTATTTGCAGTTACATGCACAGAGACACTAAAAAGAAATTTTGAGGTTAGTACAGCTGAGATTTGCAATGTGATAGTGGTCAAGAAGATGGTCGACAGCGTGCAGTCATCACTCATCAGTGATCAAAAAATGATGTCATTGGAAAAAAAAATTTCTTTTCTTCAAAAATTATTTCTACCCATGTTATTTTCTTTGTTTGATTTCGGATTCTTTTTGATAAAATAGAAGTTAATATTATTAATAAACTAGTTACAAACCAGCCAACACAATTTACTTGACAAAGATCGTTGCATTAATGGCAGATAATACATAAAACATGACACGGTTTTAGCTGATATGAAAAATCATTAGATTTAACAGAATTACAAAATAAAAAAGATTACACTGTAAATTACAAATCATCATCAATTGCACGAACTGCTCTATAAATATCTATACATGTCTATTTCTTTAGATTTATTATCCAACCGATTCAAGTTCAAAGCTAATGTTGAAATCTGATGAAAAGATCCAAAAATTCCAAAATTAACATATAAACCAGAAAAAAACTCATAGAAAAAAAAATGATTTTTTTACAATTCATCTCTCTGATCTACTTTTGATTTGCAGATTACCTGTCAAAATTTAGTACCTTATGCTATCTAAGTGTAGCACTTTTAGTAGACGAAATTTGTTAATCACTGTTGAATGAAACAACCATACATAATACCATTATGCCTTGGAGCAATCTTTTGAAGTCCAGTAGCTCTTGGCTCCCCGATCTACAACGATTACCTATTTAGGTTCAAGAAAATGTAGAATAAAGATTTGTAATCAAAGTCATGTAAGTAATCAATGTACCACCTCATCATGCAGATGGTGTTGATCCAAATGGCAGACTTGGGAAACTACTGGGTAAATCATGTATAGCTTGTGGTATGTATTAGGACCAATTAATCATCAAATAATGGCAGTTGATCATTCTTTGTTTAGTGGGTATAAATAAAAAGAATGACCAACCAAAAGAATTGGCAGATTGTGATTGGAAATAATGCACCAGGTGATATTGTCACATGGTATACCTAATATTTTTCTCATAGAATCCATTAAAAGTGGAATTGAGTTGATTAGTACAAAAGCATTTGCCTCATTAGGCTTTTGGATTGATGGTTCAATACCATTTAAGCTATTTTTACATACACCAACATGTCGGCAGATTATGACTTTCACAATCATAATAATAATGTAATATGGCTAAGAATATGTGAAAACTGATATCTCTAAAGAAATGGATCAATGATCATAACTCAGGAGTTGGAGTTATGCACGTTTGGATGAACAAATGAATTTTGATGCAGATCATACAGGGCAAGAACAACTTGCAAATAAGATGATTTGCGGAAAGAATATGTATAAACAAGGCAATCAACCTGAAAACTAGTAGTGAACAATATGAGGGTCAAGGTCCATCGCCTTCCTTGTTTTCCCAACAAATAGATCCTTGGATTTGATCAAACCAGGAACAAGACCAATCAGTGTTGTGAAAGAAAATTGAGCCACTGCATCATGCCTTCCCAGTGAAACAATAACCTTGATTGAACGAGGCTTGTAAACGGCCATCTTGCTTTCCTTTTGTTCATCCATCAATATCTTTATGTTTTTTGCAGCAATCAAAGCATGCTTTTGAGCTAAATACCCTTGTTTAATTTCCTGGTTTACAAGTTCATCTTATGTTAGTACTGGAATTGATTTCTGATGATATATCAAAGCTGTTTTAAACTTTGAATCTACTATCAGCGGTCAGCACTAAAGAAATAGTATATAAAGTATGACATTGATGAAAGAGAGCCTTTGATCATGGCATGACAGAGGTTAATATTGCTAACAATCCTCCCATCCTGTGTTTCTATCCTCCTATTTATTGCTTGGATAATTAGCAGTTACCCAAGTTCCTCTTTCATTTTTCTTCATCCACTCTTACTGTCAGTTGTTACAGAGAATCCCAGACAGAAAATTCTGAATATCAGAGGAAGTTCAATGCCCTGAAATTGCATAAAGCGCAGTCTGAATTCCTCCTATTCCTTTAACCACAGATACCAAGTTAAATCTCAGAGGCTCTGCATTTTCAGAACTACCCAATTTGATTAGGAATTCAGGCCCATCTTTTTACTAGGAAGGCAGAAATGCATAATCTGGTTCAAACAGCACAAGATACTTACACCAACTGGAACAAAACACGTAGTTTTACACTTATGATTTATTCATGAGAGTTGCAGAAGAAACCTGTTACTGAATTTTGAAATTGACATAGTGACTATAAATGCACCAGAACATCCCTATCATATTTGCATTTGTGTAATTCGAGGTCCAACTTAAATGCCCAATTAAGTGAAAAGAAATAGCCATAGTTCCTTGATCAACCATGAAAATGCAAAGAGAAGAAGGAACAAAGAAAAGTTAATGTGCTACTTAGGACTCACCTTAATATCTGTGATATCTCCAATTGCAAAGATATTCTTGTGACCCTTGATTCTCAAGTTCTCATCAACTTTCAATCTCCCAAAACTATCCATGCCATCCTTCAAGATGGTTTCTTTTAGCCACGCTGAACCCACTGGTTTTCCAGTGCACAGAAAATGGCAATCTGCTTTAATTGTTTCACGAGATGAAGTTATGTAAGCGTTGCTTCCATCTGAACTCCTAACCAACTCAACAGATTGCTGCAATTTCACTTCTACGTTTTTGTTTTTCAACCAGCCTAAAGTCTTGTCAGAAGCTTTGGGTCCAATAAACTCTAGCAACCTAGGTCCATCATGCACCAAAACAACCTTCTTTTCTGGAAAATCAACAGCAATTTCTGCAGCAAGTTCAACTCCAGTAGGACCACCTCCGACAACCAAAATGGAACGAGAAGCTTTAATCTTTTCATTTTCTGCCACCAAGAGAAAATGCAATTTAAAACATGACATCAAGGATGTGATACTCTGTCGGATGGAAGATTTTCAAGGAAATTTTAATTTAAATTTAGCTGTAGTTTTTTTTTTGGTCAAAAAAAAGGACCTGGTCCCACTTCAGACCCCAACTCTTATTTGGGTTGTTGGATTATTTCCCATTTTTGTTACAAGGGTCGAACTCTAGTGGATGCCCTAACTAGAGACTACACCATCAGGTTGGCTACCTTAGAGGGACTAAATTTAGCTGTAGTTATTGGACCAAAAACATCATGTTTGCTCTACAACCATCACAGATTTCTGATATCTCTCTGCTGCCATGGAGCAGGATCTAGCTTTTATCACCAGTGACTGGATGACTATGATTAAGCAAAAATAATATCCTAGTGAAAAATTAGGCCAACATCTAATTTAGTTGTGGATTCTAATTCTGTGCTTGAGTCATTATAAATCCAGAAAACAACAGATCAGAAAATCCTTACAACTCCAAGCATGCGTTTGCCCTGCAAAACTTTTTGTCAAGGTAAAATGAAACATAGCACGTTCACTCCTAGTTCACACACAAATGTCATCAATAGATAGTACAATTTGCTTGTCTGTACCTATACCATTTCTATGGACAGTATAATTTGCTTGTCTGTAGCTATACCATTTCTATAGAAGTTTAATCTGCGTGTCTGTTGTTCACTTGTAAATTTCAGCAATAGATAGTATAATTTGCTGGTCTGTAGCTATAGATAGTATGACTCACTTCTCTGCAGATAGTATAGATAGGAGCTATACCAATGCAATAATACCTGCTTGATACTCGGTAAGTCTCTCATTTCTAATCTTGGGAAGGGGATCATCATGGCCAGTAGCAATGACCAGGTAATCGTAAGCAACAAGGCGACCCTCTGCAGTTAAGACATCAGAATTGGTAATATTGATGGCTTTGGATACCACAAGACGGCCATTAGTCAGGTAATCTTTATGGTTGATCACTGATCTCTCTGCAAATGAAGGCTCCACCATTCCTCTTAAGCTTGCCCATGGGATCTCAAAGTACTCTTTCCTGTTTATAATATCACAGAAGAGCAAGTTATATTGCAACTATTTTATCCTGAACAAGTAAGCGAAGCAGAATTTATCTCAAGCCACCAAATATTAACTGTGCAAGATGAAGAATAAAGGCAAAACAGACAAAAGTAGATATCAATAATGACTACTAAAGAAACTCATCATACGAGTGCCAATTGAAGTGTCTAAATTCCGGTAATGATCAGCAGAGGAAAAAAATCAGAATGAGAGCTTACTGATCAATGAGGGTGAGATCTGCAGTGAACTGAAGAGACTTAGCAATGAGGGAGCCAGCTACTCCACCTCCTATCACCACCACCCTCCCCCCTCCTCTTCCAATTCCCATGTCCCCTGCCTTCTCCATCCAACTCTTCCTCCAACAGTATCCCTCTTCCTTTTCTGTACTAATATCACAAAAACAACATGATGTTTATCTAGTAAACAAGATTTGCAATGAATGACAGAGAGAAGAAATTGGGCCCAGAAAGAGCTGATAAACGAGAAGAAACATTTATGTGGCAAGGAAAGTGGTTGGTGTTTACTTGGTCGACTTTAAGAAATTTTTTAGATAAGACTTTTGATCGAGATTTCTTTTAATAAAACTACAAATTGTGCCTTGAGAAATACTACTAAAGAAAGACATGTACCAACATGTTTGTCAACTAGTGAGAAGGATTCTAGGAATGTTCATCAGCTGGCGTCCCTTGAATCATGGGATTGAAGAACTTGCCCATTAAGCTCTATTTTTTTGCTGCTTCTGTAGTTGACTTTTGCTTCTCGGGTTTAAACAAGTACTAGTTGATACTACTATACATTAATTTTTGTTCAAGTTGGCCATGACCGTGTCAAAAGAACTTCATGTGAAAATACTAGGTCAACCATCTTACTTGACTTGATAAGAACATTGATTGAAAATCAAAGGCATCGAATTTGAGTTTTCCTAGAGTTAAAAAAAAAAAAAAGAAAAGAAAAGTCGTCGGGTTAATGCTTACATCATTTTGCTAAGCAGTGATTTTGAATCTGCTAGTGAGAAATATTGGAAGTTAGAATGGAAAACCAATGCAAAAATAAAAAAGGTGATGTTTAAGTTGTTTGCAATTAAATCATGGAAAATGTCATTTGTATTTTATTTTTTGTAATTTGCACTTTCACTATTTGTTTTATCATATAATCTGATAAATGAAAATTATACGATTAAAATGATAGAAGGAGTGTGATTAAATTATACGAGAAAGGTTTTGAGGTTGTACAGATTGTTGCCTTTTTTTTTTTTTTTTGCCCTTTTGGCTTTCCCTTGGTAAAGTTCCCATAAGTTGTATTAATAAGTTAAAAAAAAATTTCTATTAAGTTTTGGGCGGGCCCTTTGTTAACCTCTTTTGAAGCCTTAGTAGATGTCTTAACGGGGAGCGTTAAGGGAATTGGGTGGATCCCTTAAGCTGTGTTCTGTTTGCGCATGAGCCCATTTCTCATTCTCCAAAATGCATCCCGCCCATTTTGCCAATTTGTGTTGGATAGGCATTATTTGCAAATAATTATGAGAAATGTTATTTGTACTCTCATTTTATTATTCACACATCCACTATCATTTTGATCATATAGTTTTTATTTATTAGACTATATGATAGAACAAATGGAGGAAGTGCAAGTAACGAAAAATAGAATATAAATAACATTTTCCATAATTATTTGCTTGCATCACAAACATATTTTTTAATCAGTTTTTTTCTGTCATATATATCAGACATATTTTTCAATCAACTCGTTTTATCTTTTCAGCTACCTTTTTTTATTTCATATATATCACATCATAGAATTATTACAGTAATTATTCCAAATAATAGTAAAGTTAGTAACTGCAACATTAACTGCTAGGCAACTTTGAAATTCCTTATTTAACTCCCAGGTCTTGCTCTTTCTCCTTTCTAAAGTTTACAGTCTCCATCAGAACAACACAAAATAAATATGTTTGTGAAATTGCCACTTACACAATACCATGTCAAAGTGAAGGAGATTAATCGACAATTTGCAAGCCCATTAAGCCCATTAATCGACAACCTGACCAGCCTTGTTGGACAAAGCAAAGTTAGAAGTGGGCTTGCTTGTAAGCTAGCTTTGGTGTTAGTGTTGCCCAGAAGTCTATCCAGATCTTTAACTTTTGGACTTAAACCATTTAAATATTGGGCTTTGGATTGTTGGGTTTTTGGCTTAGTTAGGCATATATTGTGTTTGGATAGAAACTATTTAAAAAATTACTTGAAATAATACTGTAGTACTTTTTATAATGTGATACGTGAGATAAAACGATAGTTGAAAATAGAAAAATTATGTTTGAAAAATATATTCATGATATAAGCAAAAAATTTTTAAAAATAAGATGATATCCAAACAAACCCCTGTGGTTGTTTGGCTAAGAATTTATTTGCCTTTTAATCCATCTTAATTTATTTGTCCATGCATGAGGAAGAAAAAACAAAAGAAGTGTCATTAATACATAGATTCAACATTTGGGCAATTACAAGGAAAAGCTAAAGGGAAATGTGAAAGAAAAAAACCGTTTATCACATTAAAATACAGCTTCAAGGAGAAGACTTTTCAGGTAGAAAAATCATAGGTTATAATGAAATTTCACTTTATTTTCTTCATTATTTTGAAGGTGGGGGGCTGCGTGGACCTAATAGGTGAGCATATCAATTTCAGAGCCTTCAAGAGATTTGAAAAACACCTAATTCTTTAACTTACAGCAACAAATTATGGTATGAAATGGTCCGCTAGGCCACCCATAATTATGAATGGTATGTTGGTTCTGCTTAGAGTTCCATAGGTCCAATGATTATAATTTACAACTAAGAGAACAAATAAAAGGAGGCATAGAAACATTAAACCTGAACTGCCGTGTTAGCAATTTTAAAGTTTGTAGTTCGACTCTCAAACTCTTTCTTTTTTTCTTGTGGTTGAAAGTTTTTTCCGAATAATCATATTTTGTGACTTTTTATGCTCATTGCTGGTCCTACATGGTGTTAGCCAGGTTACAATGACATTGAGATCAATTTAAGCCATGGTGAAATTGCATGTCTATTCATATTTATGATAAAAACTCGTCAAAAAGTGTTTGATAATTTTTTAATGCTTTTCTGTTACTTTTTTGTTTGAAGTATTATTTAATCAAATTTTTGAATATAGAAAAGTTATTTTGCCACTAAAACTTTTACCCCCCCCCCTCCACCCCACCCCACAAAAACAACCTTTTTTCAAAATATACATATAAATTTCCAGAATTGTAATAGTAAGCAATGATGATCTTGAACAGTGCTATTTTAAGAATGAAGCCAATAAACTAAACATTCACAGTCACATGTACTCTTGTACTTTGAGATAAATGCATGTGGCCATCTTCAAGCAAAAACGAAGAGAAGAAACAAGAAAATTCCAAGAAACTCGATCATGCGGCTTTAAATTTATTCAATAACCTAAGCTGGCAGGTAAAGGACCACTCTGTTTTTTTATACTATCAAACAAGATTTTGTGCCGTGAAATAAATAGAACATGTTCGGACCCAAAAAAATATTCATAAATAAAGCAAAAGATTAGGTCCTCAGGAGGGTGGACTATCTTTAAAACTCTTCTAAAAGAGGGAGTCTGAAAATCTATTTTGTGGCAACAATTTGACATTTTCTCATGACTGGTAATTACAATTTCTTGAAACCTTTTCAGCGGGAAGAACTGCACTATGCCTCATGGTATAATTACAGACCAAATATAGGACAAGACATTGGAGAAAACCAGCAAAAAAAAAAAAGGAAATTGAAGGAATTTTAAACTTAAGCCACAACAATATTGTATTCCTCAATAATTACAATAGATTAAATAACACGATCCTTTATTGAAAGAATTAAGGGCTACAAACTGAAAAATATGTTATCTTGGTAGATGTGCTGATCAGATTTAGGGCAAAAACCCTATACAGGTTAGGAGAAAGAGAAGGCAATGGACAACTGATTTTCATATTAATCCTCTAGAATTTACACACTTCTTCCAGTTAAATTCCCATTAGAATTTGTGGGTGGAAATGTATCCCACGAAAAATGTGGTCGATGGCCATAGACAAGTAATAATGTTGAAATGTTTGCCTTGATGCATGGAAAGCGTAGTGAAGCTCATTACAGAACTGCAGATGATCTTTAAAAGGTTAAAAAAAAAAAAAAGAACTGCAGATGAGAAAAAAAAATTATAAAGACCTGTGAAATAAACCATACTTGAGAAATTAGTTACAGTTTCATACTTGGTTTATCAAATGATGACTCCTGTGTGCAAATGATCTTTCATGATAGACTATATACTGTGTACCATCCATTTTGTCAAAAGTAACGTTTATAAAGATTTTCTGTTTCATGCATACATGTTACGTTAATAATCTTCTGGTTACTTTCTCAATGTCAAGGTGTTAAGAAGTCATAATTTTAATAGGACAGTTAACGAAACCATGATTAAGCAATATTGTTTTCTTAATAATATGGTTAACCCACCCCCACCTAATGATACTCCTTTATTTTTGTTTTTTTTGGGGGGGGGGGGGGGGTTTACTAACTCTAGCTAGCATCATAATCAGAATCAAGAACACATTCAAAATGAAGAAAAGTGGTCCATAGCCATAGAGCTAGGGTAAACCAAAAGGTGATTTCCCATTTTACCTCATTGGCAAGTGTGATAGACAAGTGGAAAGAAAGTGAATATTTGGGTGACAAGACAAAGATTAAAATCAATGGTGGAATCAATGCCAAAAGTAAACCAATAAACTTGATTCCCAAAATATTTATCATGTGATTAAAGATTAAACTATATCAATTACATGTTCATCCAACATGGTACTTACTTGATACTCCCATGCTGTGCTTAATTATATATAGCTCAACATTAATTACATGACCAGCTAGGCAGCAATCCATGTAACCCATCTTTTATAGTAGTACTTTTCTACAATTTTGGCTTCGCATAAAGTACTCAAAATCTCAGTTGATTGTGGTCTTGAAGCCAACAGGAACACTAGTACAAACCCATGTAGATGTTTATATTTGCTGTGTAGAATCTTCATGTGAGCATGAGAATGAAGAATTCAGAATGAGAATCACAGCCGACTACTGAGACAAAACTACAGTAATTTATCGGCCTCTTGGAGCTTGGAATTTAGAGGCAAATGAGAATCCCCGGACCTCCCTCCCCCATGCAGTCGGCTATATCAAACAAAAACAGACAATTTGCAGTGGTAGTTTAACATCTGCCATTGTCAAATGACAATTTTACTACTAATAGCAGCATGAACAATTTTTTGTCAATTAAAGTTTACGCCGGTACTGATATTTAAAGTGAGGAGAATTGACATGCATGCTTGTCCTTTTTTTGACATGTCTAAATCTAACGTGATTAGTATATTGAGATTTGAGGGTTATTGCAGATTTTATTTTGATACCTAATTTTTTTTTTTTAAAAAAAAAAGAGAGAGGAAAGAATAAACAGTGGTGTGAATAAGTAGCGTTTTGTACTCATGAACTGAAATAGCAAATTTCGTGTAATTTTCTTTAACATTTTGCAATCATGAACTTGTGTAGTTCCA